AGGACAGCTGCATAAGGTTCAGTAAAGCAAAGTGCTGGTTTCTGCACTTGGATCACAAGAACTCCATGCAGTGTTACAGGCTGGGGGAGGAGTTCTTTAAGAGCTGTTCAGCAGAAAGAGGGGTACTGGCCAACAGCCAGCTGAACTTGAGCCAGCACATGCCCAGGAAGCCAAGAAGTCCAATGGCATTCTGGCCTTTATGTGTGTCCAGCAGGACGAAGGCAGTGATAGTCGCACTGTACTCCACACTGGGGGGAAGCCACACCTCAGATCCTGTGTCCAGTTCTGGGCCCCTTGCTCTGAGCTACTGAAGTGTGTCCAGAGTAGGCCAACAGAGTTGGTGGAGGGTCTGGAGCATAGACCTTACAAGGACCAGCTGAATGAGCTCAGGTGTTTAGTCAAGAGAAGAAGAAGCTGAAGGGGTAATTTATTGCTCTCTACAACTGCCTGAAAGGAAGTTACACCAGGGAAAGTTCAGACTAGAAAATTATTTTTCTCTGAAACAGTGATTAGGCATTGAAATAAGTTGCCCAGAAAAGTGATAGAGTTACAGTCTCTGGTAGTGTTCAAGGGACATCTGGATGTGGCCTTTCAGGATATGGTTTAGGGGCGACTATAGTGATGCTATGCATGAACTAAATGATCTTTCAGGTCTCTGACAACCTTGGTGATTCTGTGTGATGATTCCATGTGACTATTTCTTGTGCCTTTCCTGTCCTGTGGCTTGTGTCTTATCTGTGCAGCCCCCCATACCCCTTGTGACTTCCATATCTCTATAGGCTAGCTTCCCCTAGCTCCACCCACTGTCTGCTGTTTCCTGTAGGAGTACAAGACTTCATTTGGTTTTCTCTGTAAGAGGGCATATCCATTTTCTCACAATCAGCAGACAAGAGAGCCTTGGATTTCTATGGCAGCTGGGCCATGAAGTTGGAATCGTGTACATGTCAGGATATAGACAGATGTATTTTTAATTGAAAGAAAGAGATAAAATATAAAATTAGAGGCCCTGCTTCAAGACTAATACGTGGCCCTTCTATAGCAGCCCTACAAGATTAATGTTTGCAAATAGATTATAATAATGTTCAAGGCCAGCTTCTCTGGCACTTTTCAAAGTGCTAAATTAATTCGAAAGACAGTTGCTTAAAGTGGTGACGTGTTAATGAGATTGTATTGTTGAAAGTGCAACATTTCAAACATGGAACCTTGCGGCAGTTTTTCCTTAGAAGAGCTTCTTCGGAGAACATGACAGTTCACTGATTGGGCATAGCAGTCTCTCCTCCCCATGAATTGTTTGCACATTGCAGAGGCTAATTCACCAGGTTTTCTAGCCCAATATTGCTAGTAAAAGCAGCTAGTGGATATAATGAAAGGCCATAGCTGGGCTAGAGTGTGCTTGCTTTCATGAACTGGCATCGGGAAGTAAGTACCTGAGTCTGTACTTCTGTAGAAGTGCAGTTCTAAATAAAACAGAACTGTGATATTGTATGGTATTATGGTGATAATGCAGCTGCTTTCAGGTAACTATCAAGAAAATCTACTCTAATTTGTGTACATGAAGTATATATATAGCTACATTACGGATTTTTAAGTGATAGCATATTAAATTAAAACTCCAATGCTTTTAAACTTCTCATAGCTTAAGCTAAACTGAATATAAAGGTTTTATTTGCAAATAACTGTAGTCTGTTCAGCACAAAACCATTTGAAATGTATGTGTGTCAAACAGAACTGAAATTACAGTGTGCATGGCAGGGACTTTGTACTGGAGATTGTTGTTGATACTGAGAGCTTTGTAATAACTTGCATTGCTTATTAAAGGATAAGCTGAGGGCATCTCTTTGAAGCACTCAGCCTTTAAACTTTGGTCAGTGAAGTCATGTTTTTTTCACTGGTGCTTCTTAGAAAACACCTCCTAGCCTTGCTGAGAGTATGGCAACAACAGCAAGAAGGCACCCCAGCTCTCTTCACTGCTGTTATGGCACAACCCTGGCTGCTTGGACTCATAAGATAAAAACAAAAGAAGATCTCAACAGACGCAATTTGTTTCAGGCACCCTGCAAACAGTTGTGTCAAGCCTAGGCTTCAGTTCAAAAGGCTCTGAAGTATATGCATCATTTTAGGCGTACAACTAGCACAGCTCTTAATGCTTTTCTGATCCAAATGAGTGTTGACCCAGTAACAACTGATTTTTAATAGAGAAGGAAACATGCATTTAGAAGTGCCTTTGGCCCAGACATGTGCTTTTAATGGAACTGAACTGAAATGCAAGATGCTCTTAGACCGTGGGTAGATGTTCAGAGTGCCACAGGAGATGATCAGTGTTGCACAGGTTATCTTGTCTTCATTGCAGTGCCATCTGTCAAGGAGAACACCCTGTATAATACTTTTGTTGATACTTCGAAAGCCAATAAATTTTATCTTCAAAAATGTGTTCAGGTATTTGAAGTAACAGGAATGATAGAGATGGAGATACCTCAGGACTTCTCAGTACTGGTCAAGTCTTGTGCCTTCAGGGACAGAAATGGACACAACTCCAGGCAAGATGATCTGGGAAGAACACCAATGAGCCCTGTGCCTTGTACTTACCTGTAAACTGAATTCTTGGTGTCAAGACTAACAAGTCACTCTTAACTACAACTGCAAAGAGAGACAGCTAGGTGTGTGATGTTACATATCAGTTCATCACAGAGTCATCATTTGCTGACAGTTTGGCATTCTCTCTCAAGAGGTGTGCCCTTCATTTTCCTGAGTGACATTGGAAACTCAGCATAGAATCCTACCAAAAATACACTGGATCTGTAGTGAAAAAACATAAGAGGATTTTGAAGAGTAGGTGGGGATTTTTTAAATTGCTTTTTCAAAATCTCTTGATTTAAGATGTGACCACAAAAAAAAAAAAAAAAAAAAAAAGTAGTAGCATATTTTATTGTCTATAGCTTTCATTAATTTTTAAAGGAATGAGTCAAATTGCAAAACAGAACCAGTAGCAGAGATTATATGATGAACAGATGTAAGAGCCATTTTAATATTTGATGAGACCAAAAGGTTCTCATCACTAACCACCATCTTTTAATGACACTTGCCCTTTGAATGGGTGTATGTGGTTGCATGTTTCCAACAGACTAATTTTTTTATTTTTCTAATGAAATACTTCTCAAGTCTGGCTTAAAACTGCTGGTGGTTTGGAAGTGTTTGGTTGTCATGTCAGTTTAGTTATGATAAGGTAGGAAACTGAATGTTTGGTTGCATCTCAGCATATTGGTGTGTTCTAACTCTCCACATCATTGAGAGGCCTCTCAGTCAAAGCTGATGAAAAATACCAAGGCACGGAGCCTTATAACCAGTCTGTCTGCCAGAGAGATTAACTGTTAACATAGAAACAAATGGGCCAAATTGGAGAAAACACTTGAAAATGTGTATCCATTCTCTTATCAATGCAGTGCACAAGAACTGGGTCCCTTTTTAACTGCTCCAACACTTGTGCACAGCAGCCTGCATGGAGTCAGAAACACATCCACAGTGTAGCCAGGAACTGAAATTGGGAGCCCTGCCTGTCATTCAACAACCTGCTAAGTATGTAACCATCACTTACGTAACATCTCATGTGGAGGGAGTAGAAGAAGGGTCTCATAATAAAAGAAGGGCCTCATAATAAACCAAGCCTTTAAAAATTGTAGCATGACTTTCTGTTTCAATGAAATCAGTAGTCAACATGGACTTGTGGTGATGCACAGAACAGGACTGAACTCTCAGAGCCATAGCTGTGTTTGGTATGATGCACTAACACTGAATTGTTGACAAATATCCTGTGTGATTTAGAAATAATGTCAACTCTGACTATTTGTTTTTTCTTCCATTTGTTATTTGAACATGAGAACAAGAAGGGCATTATTTATTACAATGAATGTTTTGTCTAAAAGGAGAAATTATGTTTTGAATCGACAGAATCCTGAAAGTGTAAATGTGGTTTCATAATTAAATATGTATTTTTAGAAAGGAAAATGAGTTAATCAAGAGTAAGTTATCCTTGAAAAACTTTTCTTTTTTTTTTTTTTTTAATCTTCCTTGGAAATTTTCTCAGCTCTCATTGTACAAAAGTAACTAGCATATCTGTACATCCATACCACAGTATATCAGCAGTTACAATGTTTAAAAATAGATTTCTTTATTGATGTCATCCAACCAGAACAGGACATGCCAGGAACAATAAATTGTTTAGAACCTGAAAATAAAAGACTTTTAAAATTTTGAATTAAGGTTAGGAAACCTAAGTCTAAGGAAATTTTCTGGGCAAAATTTAAAATGTTCTAAAAGCTTTCAGAAAGGCATTAATTCAGAGAAGGTCCCATTCAACAAGAGTTGATTTGGGGTAGGAATCACTATCTTACAAGTTGTTTATTATCAAGGGAATATATCCAAAGGACTGATCTTTTTTTTTTTTTAATGGACAGGGTAGTTAGTGTGGAACAAAATAATCTGATGTTTTAACTTGTGTAACTTAACAGAAAATAGCCTTGCTTTAATTCAGTCAACTAAAGATATTCAATCATACAGATCCAATCCTACAACGTCATACAGTCAGATCACTCTGTCTTCATACATTTCAGTTGATGTTGCTGAGTTTCCAGGAGAATCACCTGTCCAGATTTCATTTAATGAATCTTTTTTAGTTTCTTGAGTGTTAAAATAATTTGAAGTTGGCTGGTAGTATAATATAGACCTTCCTGTTCCTTAGGTAGGGTGTGCCAAGTAAACGTTAAAGGTTAGTTTGGACTTCAGAAACAATATCTTTTGAGATTTTTGTTGAGGAACGTATTGTGTGGTACTGATTGTTGCTGGAGGAGTTCGAACCATGAATCCACAATTCTTCAAAGCTCCTCAAAGTGAATGCTACCAGATGGGGAAAAAAATAAACATGGATTCTCCATGTTTAACATCTTCAGGCTGCCTTGTGAGGGTTAGAAGAAACTATTTCTAACTCTTTTATTTGTTTTTCTCAGGTTGGAGGTCACACCATGCTGCCCATTCGTTGGATGCCTCCAGAGAGTATAATGTACAGGAAGTTCACCACAGAAAGCGATGTCTGGAGCCTGGGGGTTGTATTATGGGAAATCTTTACTTATGGCAAACAGCCATGGTATCAGCTCTCAAACAATGAGGTGTGTGTAATATATTCTCAAACTGAATTGGGAAAGCTGTTATGCTAATTGTTGGTGTGGGTTCTCTGGAGAAGAGACAGCAACAAATTTATTTCTTAAATGCCAACACTTATATACAGTATTTATTGTATGGTTGTGAACCATACGGTTGAATTTCTTCTTTTTCACTCTTTTCTCCCCTGAGTGGATGGAAGGTGTTCAAGCAGAAGTAGAAGAGCTGGAATTTTTTTTTTCCTTTGTACAGCATAAACTCCGCTTTGGGTAGACCATGAGAGAATGAAAAGGACCGTAGCTTTCTCCTGAACAGACGTATCATACATACTGTTTCAGAGTGGTTGTCCATAACCATAGATTAGATTGAAGTAATCAAGATATCTCTTTCGATTTCTAGGCAGTCACAAGTATGCCCCTTCCAGAGATTAGCCACAGTGATACTCATAAGTTTGCAGAGGGTAGAGAGAAGGAGAGGCATTGATGCTCTATGAGCAGGCTGAAAATTATCCTCCCTCTGAAGTGGCAGTTGGGTAGACAGAGAAGTTATGGGACTAAGTCCCACCCCCAATTTCCTTATGTGTGGAGTGGACAATGTGATTGAAATTAACATGAGTGAAGTTATTGCTTTTTGATCACTTACATTACAGTGAGTTTTCCAGATCACATACTGCTGCTCACTCATCTGCCTAGAAAAGCAGTCCTTTCCAGCGATGGCTGCATGGCAGCGACCAGTGAGGCTGCTGTGATTAAAGTTAACTCTTCCATGGATGATCTCTATGTAGCTGTCACAACAGTGCTGATCCTTTGCTTGTGATTTCTCATAGGTGATTGAGTGCATCACTCAGGGCCGAGTCCTGCAGCGACCTCGCACATGCCCAAAGGAAGTGTATGACTTGATGCTGGGCTGTTGGCAACGGGAGCCTCACATGAGGCTCAACATCAAAGAAATCCACTCCCTCCTTCAGAACTTGGCCAAGGCATCTCCAGTCTACTTGGATATTTTAGGCTAAAGTCTCCTAGCATTTCTTCTGGGCTGCAGGAATGAATGTCTTCAACTGCCGCTGAACTACATTAAAATGTATTCTTAACTTTTGACAGTATTAATGACAAAGTTGCGGAGAAGCTTTCAAAGGGCAAGCAATGTGCGCTTCTCCATCTGTAGACACAGTATTGACTTTTTAGACATTATCAAGACGTATCTTCTCTCTTTCTCTCAGTTTCTATCTTTTTTTTTCCTTCTCTCCTGTCTTTCTAATCAATTTGGCTTCTGCATTATTGTAACTCTGCATAGACAAAGGCCTTAAAAACCCAATCTGTTATATCAGCAGACTCTTCAGTTTGCCCACCACAACTGACAATGCCTTGTTGTATTCATGCCTTTGATGTGGATGAAAAAAAGGGAAAAATACATTTGACTAAAACTTTGTGATTTCAGCTGTATAGCTACCGGGAGTTTCTATGGATTCACCTCATTTTTTTTTTTGCTTCAGCCTGTGGGTGGAAAAAGAAGACTGGTGTTCTCTACATGAAGAATGTTCTTTGCAGAGATAAAGCCAGATAGAAAGAAGACACTCCTGTGTTATACACTATCTGGAGGAACTTGGAAATCACGTGGCATCCAACCCTACAAGAAAACACTGAAGTTATTTGATGGAAGACAAGAGAGGGTCTAGCTATTTCCCTGAAGAGTCTTTCTGAGGACTAAAGGGATAGTTTAATGAGGTGCTTTGCCAGCACCATTCATTGCCAGAATCAAGTAAAACAAAAAAAGATGCTGCCTGCACTGCACGCAATTGTGTTACAACATGGATAAACTAAACACATGCCCTTTTTTAGTCTTCTGGTAGGATGTCATGCCACTGGTGTAAAAATGTTCTCCAGCTAGTCTTTTTTAGTAAAGGCTGAAGCTAGATTTAGTTACATACAATATTAATTTCAAGATCACATGTTGAAACTAAAGATTTTGATAGGAGAAACTATAAATGCTGAGGCAGGTGTATCTTATACTGTGCTTGTCCAGCAGCATATTCCTTCCTTCCTGAATCCTTTATTTTTTCTTTTTTTAACCGTGCAAGCAAAACTGTGCATGGTCTTTGTCGATTAATGCCCTTTGTGCAGAAACAATCACTCATCTTGTAGTTCACCCTAGTAGGCATAGAAAACTCATAATGATATAACCTATATTTCATTAGAAGGGGCTAATGGAAGACATTAGCCATGTTAAAATGCCTTTAAAATATTATAGATACTATAGGCTGATATAACATGAATAATATAAAGCACGGAGATCACTGGTTATGTTTGAGACATAGCAGGGGATAAAGATCTCTAGACAAAACAAATTACTCTGTGGTTATGGCTTGCTATTCAGAGTGCAAAGATTCTGACCTCAGCGTCATTTTTGTATTGGTACTATTGCTGTCATAACCAACGTACACACTTTATTAAATAATTTATTTTTGGTTGGATTGGCATTGTACGTGTATAACATTTGCATGGCCACTGTGTTGATGATCGCTGCATGGGTATACATGTTGTTTTTCAAACTAGAAGTTGACAATTTGAAATTTAGAGCTAGGATTATTTTTAATATGAATTCTTACAAATGAAAACCTACCTTACCTATTCCTCAAGACTTCTGCCTCCCTCTGTGAGGGGGCGTTATTGCAAAAAAGTGATCTTTCTTTCCATTTTCTCTTTTTATTATTTCCTAATGATATGAGCCAGATCAAAATAGTCCATCTTCGTGTTGGGGATATTTTATTTAATAAATTAAGCATTTTATTTTTGTAAGTGTTCCCATAGCACATTTAATATATAATTTGCTCGCATGTATTATTTATTGAGGCACTTTAAGTTTTTCCTTCAGAAGCTTTTAGAGCTAGCTTATAAAAATTCTGAATATTTTCAGAAGAAAACAGTTCACTGGACACTGATGAAGTTTTACCCTTCTCAATGTCATTGAAAAGGCAGCATTACAAATAAACATAACAGTGTAACTATAAAGCCATACTCAGTATTTCTTTAATAAACTAGAAGTTATTTCTTAACTGCTACTGAACTGGAAACACATAAAAAGCCAGAGGAAGATTCCTACAAAATGGGCCTTAAGATTTTATCTAGACTGTCTCGGAAGTTCTCACAGAAAACTAGAAAAAGACTGAGCATCCAGTGAAACCCATTCTCTTGAGAATATGAATGTTATATTTTAAAGGAATTTGAACTCGATCTTCAAAATAACAGTGGTGGAAAAGAAAGATATCAGAGTCCTCTTACTGTGCAGTGGGAAGAGGGTGCAGTTGGTGGAGGGGGCTGCTAAGTTTCTACTCGCGTATTCTTAGTTTCTTCTGAGGTGAAGGAAAAGGCATCTAAGATGATGCTTTTACTGTAAAACAGGCTCCAGCCCAAAAGTAAACAGATGTGTTTTCCAAGCACTGAAAGAATGTATACCAAAAAATAACCACAAGACCCTGAAAATGTACTTAGTGGCATCTTCTTTTTGATTTACTAGTGAGACTTTTAGAGTCATTTCAGAGAATAAATAGTATTAAAATGCATTGTGCAATAACATAGCAGTTTGTTAAATTTCTAAAGGACCAAATGTTCTACAGAGCCACCACCATGGATAACCTTCACCTATATCATTAATGTTCTTGATAGTGCATAAAATGTATAATCACAGTAGAAAAGCTGTAAACTGTAGCTACACATAGTTTGCGTTTGTTCATGAAAAGGTGGGTAAGTGTAACAGAGTGAGCAGAGAAGAGGAAGAAATATGTTCAATCAGAATACGTTCAAATCAGAATGAAGAGTGAATATATGTGCATATTCATCATGCTTGCACTGTCAGGTAAATCGTGTACACTGAGTAAGTATGACAATCAGGGTCATTTTAAAAGTCTTTCTGGACTGTGCTATGAACTGACCATATATATATATATAATATATGTGTGTTTGCATATGGCATATATATATATACACACACATAGCATATACATGTATGCCTATGTCTGTTGTATTTTACTTATATATGTGCAGACATGCATGCACATTATGTATGGGCTGTGTGTATATGTATAAAATTACATACACCTATGTTATTACAAATTATGATTAGAGTGCTATTAATAAATTGATAACGTCTGCTGAGTAACCAAATTTTATTTCTTTTGATATTTCTTTTTCTATATTTGTGAGATTCAACTTTCTAACTTTTGTGCAGCAGAGGCAGTGCTAGAATGCCAGAGATTTAACAACGAGCACTTTTCTTCCCCAGACGATTGCATAAAAGCATTTCTTCCATTCCCATCTCACTTGTTGATTTCTCACAATGAAATTAACAGAGAAGCTTCCAAGCTCAGAAAACAGAGTTTGTTTTACTGAGTTTGTGCTACTGTTGTTTTATTGTTCTAGCATAACAGTGCCGCTCCATTAGCATTTTATACTTGCCTGAAGTAACGAAATAATTCCAAGAATGAGCTGGACTATTCACACTGCAACATGACTTGGAGGAACAACGAGAACACTGACATTTGGGAGTAATAATAGTAGCATTTGTCGCACTCTGTCCTTCACTCTCAATAGATCTGCAGAACTTGGAACTGGCCATGGAGAAAGACACTAGTACAGCAACAGCATCTCATGATGCCTGATGGAGTGTACACTTTTAAAAGGACTGCATTATTTTGACCCGTAAAACAACATATCTATATATTGTCTATAGGTTAATAAGTAACTGCTTATTTTTTAATCTTGTTCTTTTTTTTTTGTCCTTGCTATTTTTTACCTCTTTCTTTCTTTCTTTCTTTCTTTCTTTCTTTCTTTCTTTCTTTCTTTCTTTCTTTCTTTCTTTCTTTCTTTCTTTCTTTCTTTCTTTCT